GATTATCAACATAATCCTTTACAAGAATTGATAGTCGCTGATAATTAAAATGGTTCTTTGGATTTTTGCTGCCAGAATTTCTAGTTTTTGTAAGGTTTGTTTTGTCTCTCTCACGAACACAAGTTCACACACTTTGGCTTGTTATTGCCTGAGTTTCACTCAAAGTACCTGAAAATGTGTCATATATTCCACGCAGTGAGGTACGGGGAGCATATACAAACACCACCACTTGCGTAGACAGGTGTTCAGAAATGAAGAAGGATAATTTCACATGGGGGCCATTGATAGAGGAGTTCACTTTTGCTATAAATTCGGCTCCCTTCAATAGCTGTCATGCTTCTACCATAGTGGAGGTTTTTGCATCTAACTGTAATGTTAACATATGCATCTAAGATCAACTGTTCAATTAAATTGTAGCTGATTTGTGGCATGTGCAGGTCGATCAAGATCATTTTTTGGTTGCTTATTTTGGGGGTTCAGCAGAGGGAGCACCTGATGTAAAAATTTGGTTGCAGACTTACAAGGTAATGCCATATTCTAATGTTAGGCTTATGCATTAATTGACACCCTAATGCTTTTCTTCTCTCCAGCATGTGTTGTTGATGAACTAAAAATTTGTGGGTCCTTGTTAATTGAGGACTGTGGGAGGGATAAATGAGGTACAGAAAGTAACCATTGGTCGTATCAGCATGAACTGGCTTTTCCCCATTCATTAGTATGTACACTTGGTTTTTGTACTGCACAGTGTGCACCTTTCTTGAAGATATCAATTTGCCACTGTTTATGTTATTGTTCTTGGCTTCTTGCTAACCAGGCAGACACTAATGACAAAAGATTATGGCTCTTTTCAATTGAGATGAGTTCTGGATTTACCCACAAACTTTTATCCATATACCTGCTTGTTATTTAGTTTTTTGTTTCACTGGCAGGAACTCCTAGAACAATTCGTTAACTCACGGTTGTGGTAATTATTTGTACAGGATGGCTATTGGCACTCTCCAATAATTGCTGATGAACAAGACAATGTTCCAATGTGGAATCCTGCGTTATTTAAGCTTCCATCCAATGAGTTGCTTCTGTTTTATAAAATCGGGCAAGAGGTTCAAAAGTAATGTTTCAATGTCTGTCTATCTTCTTCTGGTTCTTAATAGTTGCATTTTTTGTGAATCTAACTTTGTGTAGTAGTATCTTCAACGTTTTATTCAATTCCATAGTTTCTGTTTGTCTTGGTGCTTGGTTTATGTGTCACATAATTGACTGATATTCATACTCTGTTAGGTTCAAATACGCAATGAGGACTTAGGATACAATGATTGGACCCATTGTCAATTTCCTTTTTGCTCTGTCTTTCAAATATACATTATCCATGAATTTGTTTGTGCCATCATGCCATGTTATAGATGTCCCAAGCAAAATGGTAACAATGTCTTGGGAGTATCAAGGAAATTGATTGGGAACTTCATAGACTTCAGATTACTTTACTATCTTTTTATCTAGAAAATTTTTGTGTCATAAAGATTGTTTATTTGATTCTAGTGGGGAGAATGCAACGAGTAGTTTGCAATGGCTTGATCTATAAGATAAACTGCTAATGACTTTTATGAAGCTTTGCACGAGTCTCATGCCTTAATTTCAACTATAGCAGATATGTTGATTATTTTATAAGAATTGACATCATATCTCCAGGAAAAATAAACTTTTACCCAGTCATACATAAAGCAAAATGCTCGTTCGTATCCCACCGATTCTAAAACATAATCAGTGCCAATCCACCTTGGCTCTCCAACTTATCCACATGGCTTTTCAGAGCTATTGCTAAGCGTTTAAACAGCAAGAACTTCACACTTGCACAACTGACATAGGTCAGATACAACACAGGCATTCTGAGTGTTACACAAATGGTTCGACAAATATTTGAAGTTAAGTAGAGAAAAAATAAAGATATTAATGAAAACAAAAAAGAAAGTATGAGTTGCTCTTTGTAGTTTTTTTGAACCATGAAAACTGACATACCACATAACCTGGCCTATGTTTCCTTGTCATCACTCACTGAGGGTTTGGTGAACTTTAGATGGAGTGGATGTATGAAGCGGTCCTTTGATGGAGGTAATACTTGGACGGAAAGGGAACAGCTTCCTCCCGGCATATTAGGACCGATTAAGAATAAGGTAAGCATGTCCCAAAAAAGGCAAATTTTAAATGTGTAAACCCCTATATGCCTTGAGTTGTCTTATTTGTGCCGCATTATATTCGTCAGCCTATTTTGCTGGGAAATGGTCAATTGCTCTGTGGATCTTCAGTGGAAAGTTGGAACTCATGGGGTGCATGGATGGAGGTGCAGTAAACCAACTACATTAAGCTGTTTGTATGCTAGCAAAGTTCAAAAGGAGGCTATAAAATCAAATAAAGTGGATGGTTGACTTTATTTTTGTAACTCAAAAACAGATCACTGCAGATTCAGGAAAAACATGGAAAAAGTATGGACCTATATATATTCAAAACGAATCCCTTAGCGTGATTCAACCGGTTCCTTACCGGACTGCGACTGGGACCTTGCGTGTTCTGTTGAGATCCTTCAATGGCATTGACAGAGTTTGTATGTCAGAATCTCTTGATGGTGGCCAAAGCTGGAGTTTTGCAAAACCTACTGAACTGCCCAACCCAAATTCAGGTCATGATTGAAATCAAATTGTCTGCATTAAAAAGAATTATTTGGATATCTAGTAAATGGTGGACATGTGTGTCTTAAATATTCTGGGTGAGTCCATTTCGTTTTCCCATGGAATTCTTGAGTGTATAATTTACTGTTAGTGAATTATGTGGATGCTATTACTTTGTTAGGAGAAACTGACAGAAGGGATTCCTATAGAATAAAATATATCCCATGCAAGAGCTTTTTTCCTGTGATCCTGCTGGCTCAAACTCTGTTGCATTAACAGGCATTGATGGGGTTAAGCTGAAGGATGGCCGTCTCTTACTTGCTTACAATACAGTCTCCAGGGGTGTGCTCAAAGTCGCCCTCTCAACAGATGACGGAGACTCATGGGATGATGTTTTGACATTAGAGGAGACTATGGGAATGGAGTTCTCTTATCCAGCTGTAATTCAAGCCGGTGATGGATTAGTTCACATTACTTACACTTATAACAGAACACAGATTAAGGTAATGGCCTTATATTGTGAAGTTTAAGACAAATTATGGTACGAATGTGAACTCCTTTATGTTTTTGATAAGTCTCCCTCCCTCCTTTTTCCTTATCGTCATTCATCCCTAAAGTTGTTATGATGTTGTCGTAAAAGATTGTCCTCAAAATGAGCTTTTCGTGCTATGAAATCTAATTTCTTCTGGTCCTGTGGTTTTCAGCATGTTGTTCTTCAACCCAACTGATGCAGCTGTGCATTGAGAGCAAAATTGTAGAGGAAAGAGGTACATTACCTATGGCTAGAAACATGTAGCCCAATAATCAGTGGATTATAGCTATAAGCCTATAACATAAAATGCCATGTTATGGATAGATTGGCTTTCCACATGCAATTGTATTTTTTCAAAATTATTTAACTCCTTTTTTTTTAGATTTATTTTTTCCCATTGTTTTTAGATGATTAGGCCTCTCATGAAGTTTCCTGTATTTATGGCATGATTAGGTTCCCTTTACACCTTTTGTTATCATGGTTTCTGGAAGCAAGATGTTATTAAGGTATATAAATAAAATCAGCATTAGACTATGATTTCAGATAAATTTTCAATTTTGTGTGCTGGTACTAGAGAAAAAGGGTGGTTGCATCAACTGGATGGTAGGAAGGATCGCATATTTCGTTCATGTGGGGAAGAATTGAAGCTTTGGGTTAAAAAAAACATAATTTTGTTGTATCATGAGCTCTATAATACCCGAGTTCATATATTTCCTAGTTTTGGCAGCTGCAGTTTCGAGTGGATTTATTTAAGTTTAGTTGAGCTCAGTCCTTTATCAATAATATCACACCAGAATTCAACAGAAGTTCAGCTACGCTTCCACATATCTTGGTCTAATTGATCTACAACTGCTGTTTATAGAAATTTAAGGAGATGCTTTATTTGTGTATCTAGTCTCCTTTTGATCTTCATAAAACTCATTTTTCTTCAAGTTTAAGACTTCTCAAAAACTTGATTTTCAATTCTTTTCCATTTCAGCATGGCCTTGCCAATAACTTAAATCTGTATTCGGGCATTGAATGCTTTTGACAGAAGTGAAGATCAAAGTTACACATCTCACTGTGGCCTTCCGGGAGGTAAAGAAGATTGATAGTATGCCAGCAAGTGGCGTTTTTCCTGAAAGATTTGGTTTCCTTCCCCTTTTTTTTTGTTGCCACTTTTATTAATTTTTTATGTCATGCAAACTGAGTTTGGATTTGAACCTTAAACCTCCTATTTTGGATTCCAAGAGAGCTTATAGTAGTTTTTAGTTGTCTACTTGCTTCTTTCTCTGCAATGTGATTTTGCAAACACTAGGTCACATCTTGTAACAGGTTCCAAACTTGGGGATTATTCACTGTGCAAATATAAATTACCTTCTTGCGATATTGTCCTTTTCTTTGTTGATCTCTTTCTTTCTCTTTTTGTGAATACTCTTGTTTTAATTAGAGGTTAAACGCAGACCACTTTGCAACATATGGTTCAGACCCATTTTTTTTCTGTGTTCCTTCTCTCTTCGTGTTAAATACACAGGCATGCACTTCGCCGTTGAAGAAGGCACGAGCTTCCTCATGTGGAAGTGAATGAATCGAAAGCCTAGTTCAATTTTTCCTTTGACCTTCGACTACTGTAAGGCTTCCAAAAATGAAGCACCTCGTGAGATAAGTCCATGAGAATCCTAATTTTCCTAAGCTCTCTTCATAGACTCACTAGTCTAGTCTAATAGAAATTGAGTCCAAGTAAACCATAGCCACGACCAATTATGATACACAGAAAACTTGTAATTAGTCACAAGGTCATACATTGAATCCCATTGTAGGACAAAAAATCACATAATTCCTGATATAGTGATATGTGTTACATCCATACATGTCTCAAAGGCATGCCTATATCCCACAATACATGCTGAAGTATCTAAATGCCCAAAAGATAATATTTTTGCCAAGGCCTGTTAAAATACCCACAAAATTAATCAAAGACCAATTCACATTAGCCATGCCAAATACCATATATTTTCACATATACACAGGATATAGGTAAAAGGGTATATACCTGTTGAGCTCTGATACGACCTTGCCTCTTAGCAGCACACTTCTCCAATAACGCTTTTAAAGATAACTCAAGCTCTGGAGCCTTCTCGTTCACGTCTCTCCATTTTCTTCTCCAAAAATACACTGATTATACAGATATTTAAGTCCAAAACCCTAGTGGGGGACTCTTGAATGCAAGATTACTAGCAGTGAAGGGCGTTTTAGAGAGAGAGAGAGATGAAGTAGGAGAGGGACCTGTTGATGCAGAGATAGCTGCAAGGGCCAGTGTCCAGGAGAATTTTACCCATTTCCATGGTACTTCTTTGGAGGCAGCCATGAGTTCTGTCGACCACCACTTCAAATTGAGCAACTTAAAAATAGGTCAGCAATTGAGTCGGGACGAACCGGGTGCCGTTATTTTGTGAAACCTATTATGAGAATACTGTCATTTTTAAACACAAATATTGATTTAATTCATTTTTCAACTTACTTATCGGTTTATTGTAACAACTTCGCTTTCAACAAGTGATATAACCAAAAAAAAAAGACATTTTTGTAAGTATTAAAATTTTTCTTGTTGATTTGACCGTAAGTATTAAAAGTGTTCTTGTTAATTCCATTTTCTTCGTGAAAGCTGAATCAATAATTTCATTTTTAAAAACTGCAATAGATCGGTAAATAAGTTAAAAAGTGCAATAAATTAGTATTTTTGTTTGAAAATAATAATATTTTGGTAATAGATTTGTTATTTTGTTTCCTCTTCTTTTTTGGTGGGCTATTCCTATCCCACAAATATTTATTTTCATCTCATTAAAATTTTTATTATCAAACTACTAAGTACACCTTTTTATATAAAACCCAATTCAACTAAGTTCACTCTATGTTATAAACACCATAAGTTCACATTCTATCTTTTCATAACTAGAGTTTCATTCACTATCTGCTCTCGTACACTCTATATAAAATAATTTTTTCAATATGAATTGTTAAGTAAGATAAGCACATCACGTTTTTCCTTCTGTTGCAGATATGTAAATATGTATATACACACACATACACTCACATAAAAACTCAAAATCAAAAAATAATTAAGTTTTACATAACCAAACATAAAATCATACAACACACATAAAATCAAACAAATAATTAAACCGCAAAGTAATACTAACATATATTTCACTAGAAAAATTTATATTGAAAAAACTCTTTTATGCGGAATATATGAGAGGAAGAAATAATAAATGAAACTCTAGTTTTGAGAATATAGAAATAGTACTTGTTATTAAAGGGGTTGTGAATAATATGCCGTGAGCTTTGTTAAAATGGAGGTGAATACAGAAGGAGTGAACTTATTAGTTTGATTATAAAAGTTTTAATGGGGGGGGGGGGAAATGATATTTATGGGGTGGGAATAGCCCCACCCCTTCTTTTTTGGTTCAACCGTTAAGATGTCCAGCCACACATTTTGTCTAATCTGTTTTTCTAGTTCGATCAAAATAAGTTATTTATGCCGGAATTAAAATATTCGTGAGAGATAAATCTTCGTAATTTTGATTAACTTCCACTACTACCCAATTCTAACATAACACTGTGACACTAATTCAATTTTTCCCTTCTATTCCAGCAAATACTTCACATTTTAGGATGGTTTGCAACTTGAATGAGTTGAACGGGTTAATTATGAAACCTCCAACTCGGGTGAATATGAACCCAAATTTAATCACCCGAACTCTTAATCCTGAGTATTATCCATGGCCTAAATCAGAATAAAATTCATGTTCAAGTTGGGTGTGATACATAATTGTTTGAAATTTGAGTTGGGTGACAACAATCCAATATACCAACCCTAATACGGCTAGGACTCAAATGAAATTGAGATTTTTTTTACACAAATCCAATCAAGTATTGAATTTATTAGGTTGTATTTTAGATTGATCGGTCCAAGTTGCATCACCCAAACCAATAATAAAATTTTAAATAGATAAAATGAACTCTATTTGAGTAATTATTAGCCTACATGAAAGATAAATGAACAATTATTTGTTTATATGAACAGGTTGTTATTAACTTGTGTGCGGTTCTACTTCTTTATTTATTTGCATATTATTGATTATTAATACCACATGACAATGTTGACATAATATCACTGTTACAATTAATATTTTTTTCCAAACAATCGGTTCACACATCAAATCATTTGAAATTTTAAAATTATGCGGATTAGTTCAAAAAAAATCTTATTTTAGGGATTTAATCCTCTCTCAACTTAGAAATTTTTAATTTTAACATATTTTAATCAAGTTGGGTCATTTAATTTTAAATTCATTTAGTTACATTCAATTAAAGGAACCCATTAATGTTATATTTGCCAATATTAATTGTAAAGATCAATCGAGTCGAGTTTAATAGGACAAATACTTTCCATAAAACAGTTAGAGGGCTATCATAGTCAAATAGAAATATTAAAAATTTTCATGTCTTTGTTTTTTGAGTTGTAAAAAAAATTAACAATTTTAGCATAAATAATAGGGCTAATGTCACTTTACACTCTAAAAATGTTTCAATTTTTAATTTATACTCTCAAGTATTAAAAATTTTACTTTACACCCTCAAAATTATAAATTGATAGCAATGTAGACCTAGCCTAGTCTATTGTTTAGTTTTTCGTCATAAATTGAAGCACGTGAGTTACAAATGTTTTGAACATGAACTTATGTATAAATTCACAAACTGTGGACGCTTCACATGAATTGCAAATGATAAATTTAGCCACTATTTGATTAACGAAATCTTACTTTTTATACATAATACGATATCAAATTGATCGCAGAAGAAAATCTACAACAATGAATACGCCTGATTTTCATACCCGAAGTATTTATAACTCATGTGCTTCAATTTATGACAGAAAATTGAACAACAGTCTGGGCAAGGTCCACATTACTGTCAATTCATAACGTTGAAGGTGTAAATTAAATTTTTTAATATTTGAGGGTTTAAATTAAAAATTAAAATATCTTTCAAGGTATAAAGTGGGATTAGCCCTAAATAAGTATACTGCAAGAACAGAAAGAAGATCCAAGGCCTTATTGGTAGATGGGTGATAGGGTTTGGCACTCTCTCTCCGCTTACGCATTAGTCAACCATGTAGCACATAGATGCCCTTGTGCATATCTACGTCGGTATGCATAAGCACAACATAGTTAGTAGAAAACAACGACATCAACTAAATTTTGAATTTTTTCAACTGATATACAAATACAAACCCACGATTTTCTTGCGTTTTCTCTCTCGTGTCATCTTTTGACTGCACCTGGTTTTGCTCTTCCTTCCTTCATATTCTGGTAATGATTAGAGTGTGTAAGCATTAACAAAACATAGTTAGTATTATTATAATAGCAATGACCTCAACAAATCTTTGATTTGTTTGAGCAGGTTCAAAGAGAGACCCACAATTTTCTTGCATTTTCTTTCTTATATCATCTTGATTGCAGCAGGTACTGCCCTTCTTCTTTTTCCTTTCATATATTCTGGTATTGATTATTGTAAGTCTTTTAGTTACACGAACTTGCGAAAAGAAGAAACCCTTTTTCATTGGTTATTTCATATAAATGAGGAAATTCGGTTCAGGCATGGTGTTGGTACTGTTTTTGTTGTTGCCTTTGTTGATTCTGCTGCCATTCTTTAAATTTTCCTATTTGCACAACCCGTTTTCTGGGTTTGGAAGCAGAATGAGCCAAACCCATAAATCTCTTAATTTTAGTGTTACGTTGCATACGCAGAGCTTGCTTCGCTTGGTTCACTTGCTTCTTGACAGGAGGTAAGCTAATAGCTTTTGAGTATGTAGTTTTTTTTTATCCAAACAATTGTTAACATGGTACGATCATACTCTTGCATCTCAATTATGGAACATATTGTTAAATTGCTTAGTATTAAATGAAATGAGGAGGGACATACTATGATTTCTGAAGTTTTTTTTCCCGGAAAGTATGATGTCTGGAGTTTCCAATAGGTCTGTTGTTGCTTCAAATATTTATATTGGTGGTTGGACTGTTACGGCAAAAGAGTGGTACTCTGGCTCTGAGACAGCCGGGATATAAACAGTGAGAACCTGAAAAGAAACCTTCGGTTGCAGCAGCAAGGTTATTAGCAATTGTCTGCATTTTGTGAAGGCAATCAGTCATGGTTTGGGACCATTTCTTTGTGGTTTGAAACTGAAGGCATATAAACATACATAGTGCAAGTAACTGAGATGCAAACACACACTCCAATGAGACCCAAACAGCACAAGAATTGGTATGACCCAGAAATTGGGTCCAAACCCTTTTAGTTGAAGAAGAGAAATCCAATATAGTAGAAGTCAATTCTGCTTTTGCCAAGCTCTGTAAGCAGGATTGATGTAGGAGAAGCAATACAGCTGTCATTTTTATCACTAGAAAGGGTTCGAGTGATAGTGTGAGCAGGACACGGCAAACCACTATTATCATATCCTTCAAATTCATGGCCTTGAAGAGCAGGGATTATTTGGGATCACCAGTAAGTGAATTTACTGTGATCAATCTTGATGGGCAGATGATGGTTGAAGTTAGCAGTGAATGGGTTAATTTAAAATTGATTAACAAGAGTTAGAAGAGTTGACAACTGTTGAGGAAGAGGTCATTGGAATAAGGTAGACTTGAGGCGGAGGACAACCTGACGCCACATAAGAACTACTTGAAAAGGTTTTGCTCTCTTGAAAGTTGAGAGTGAGAGAGTCCCTTGTATTTATGATCACTGAGATAAGACCTACAGGTTACCAAGGTTAGATTAGGACATTTGAGTGTTGACAAAAGATTATCAACATAATCCTTTACAAGAATCGATAGTCGCTGATAATTGAAATGGTTCTTTGGATTTTTGTTGCCAGAATTTCTATTTTTTGTAAGGTTTCTTTCGTCTCTCTCTCTCACACAAGTTCACACACTTTGGCTTGGTATCGCCTGAGTTTCACTCAAAGTACCTGAAAATGTGTCATATATTCCATGCAGTGAGGTACGGGGAGAATATACAAACACCACCACTTGCGTAGATGGGTGTTCAGAAATGAAGAAGGATAATTTCACATGGGGGCCATTGATAGAGGAGTTCACTTTTGCTATAAATTCGGCTCCCTTCAATAGCTGTCATGCTTCTACCATAGTGGAGGTTTTTGCATCTAACTGTAATGTTAATATATGCATCTAAGATCAACTGTTCAATTAAATTGTAGCTGATTTGTGGCTTGTGCAGGTCGATCAAGATCATTTTTTGGTTGCTTATTTTGGGGGTTCAGCGGAGGGAGCACCTGATGTAAAAATTTGGTTGCAGACTTACAAGGTAATGCCATACTCTAATGTTAGGCTTATGCATTAATTGACACCATAATGCTTTTCTTAAGCAAGCTGGCGCACCGTTAATTGGAAGTAATCTCTGGCACGTGTTGTTGATGAACTAAAAATTTATGGGTCCTTGTTAATTGAGGGCTGTGGGAGGGATAAATTAGGTCTAGAAAGTAACCATTGGTCGTATCTGCGTGAACTGGCGTTTCCCCATCCATTAGTAGGTACACTTGGTTTTTGTACTGCACATTGTGCACCTTACTTGAAGATATCATTTGCCACTGTTTATGTTACTGTTTCAACCAGGCAGACACTCATGACTAAAGGTTATGGCTCTTTTCAATTGAGATGAGTTCTGGATTCAGCCACAAACTTTAATCCATATACCTGCATGTTATTCGGTTTTTCGTTTCGATGTCAGGAACTCCTGGAATAATTCTTTATCTCACGGTCATTATTTATACAGGATGGCTATTGGCACTCTCCAATAATTGCTGATGAACAAGACAATGTTCCAATGTGGAATCCTGCATTATTTAAGCTTCCATCCAATGAGTTGCTTCTGTTTTATAAAATCGGGCAAGAGGTTCAAAAGTAATATTTCGATGCCTGTATCTTCTGGTTCTTAATAGTTGTATTTTTTGTGAATCTAACTATGTGTATTAGTATCTTGAACGTTTGTATTTAATTTCGTAGTTTCTATTTGTCTTGGTGCTTGGTTTATGTGTCACATAATTGACTGATATTCATAATCTGTTAAGTTCAAATACACAATGAGGACTTAAAGATCCCAATATAACAGTATAGGTAATAGGATACATTAATTGGACCCACTGTCAATTTTCTTTTTGCTGTGTCTTTCAAATATACAGTATCTATGAAATTGTTTGTGCTATCATGCCCTGTTATATGTCCGAAGCAAAATGGTACCAATGTATCAGAGTATCACTAGGGAAATTGATTGGGAACTTCACAGACTTCACATTACTCTACTAGCTATTTATGTAGATAATTTTTGTGTCATAAAGATTGTTTATTTGATCTAGTGGAGAGAGTGCAACGAGTAGTTTGCAATAGCATGATCTATTAGATAAACTACTAATGATTTTTATGAAGCATTGCACGAGTCTCTTGCCTTCATTTCGACTATAGCAGATATGTTGATTATTTTATAACAATTGACATCAGATCTCCAGGAAAAATAAAAGTTTACCTCGTCATACATAAAGCAAAATGCTCGTTCATATACTCATTGGTATGGTGAATCAGTGATGTGAAACACATTAATGTTTGCAGATTCAAATTTGATTATTGGATGTGGCTCAAAATTTAGAAATTATAATATAAGGAAGCAATTAACAATGTTTTTTCTGTAAATATTAAAAAAGACATAAAAATATAGTTTAATAAGAGGTTTTGGTTCAAGACCTCCATATAGACAGTATAGTGGTTCCTTATCCCCTGCAAACTTGATTTGACAAAGCAAACCTTTTTCTCTTTCATGTATTTTCATCCACATAAAATATGACGAACTGATCCATTGTTGTAAACCATTCATCTTATTGGTCGAATCCTAACGAACAGAAAATAATCTGGATAGAGAGGCAGGTTCTCTGAAATCAGGAATTTGTGACCAAATGTCTATAGTCATATTATATTTTTTTTCCCAGGCTGGTGGTAGTCATATTATATTCAGATGGCCGTCATGTTTGATTTTCATTGATAAAATAGATGTAATAATACTCTTGGCTTTCTAACATTTACGATCTAAAACATAATCAGTGTCAATCCACATTGGCTCTCCAACTTATCCACATGGCTTTTCAGAGTTATTGCTAAACCTTTAAACAGCAAGAACTTCACAATTGCACAACTGAGAAAGTATGAGATGCTCTTTGTAGCATTTTGAATCATGAAAACTGACATACCACAGAACCTGGACTTTGTTTCCTTCCCATAACTCACTGAGGGTTTGGTGAACTACAGATGGAGTGGATGTATGAAGCGGTCCTTTGATGGAGGTAATACTTGGACGGAAAGGGAACAGCTTCCTCCCGGCATATTAGGACCAATTAAGAATAAGGTAAGCATGACCCAAAAACGGCAAATTTTAAATGTTTATACTTTATACCCCTATATGCCTTGAGTTGTCTTATTTGTGCCCATTTATATTCCTCAGCCTATTTTGCTGGGAAATGGCCAATTGCTCTGTGGATCTTCAGTGGAAAGTTGGAATTCATGGGGGGCATGGATGGAGGTGCAGTAAATCTACTACATTAAGCTGTTTGGATGCTAGCAATGTTCAAAAGGAGGCTAAAATTCAAATAAAGTGGATGGTTGACTTTATTTTTGTAACTCAAAAACAGATCACTGCAGATTCTGGAAGAACATGGAGAAAGTATGGACCTATCTATATTCAAAACGAATCCCTTAGCGTGATTCAACCGGTTCCTTACCAGACTGGGACTGGGACCTTGCGTGTTCTGTTGAGATCCTTTGATGGCATTGACAGAGTGTGTATGTCAGAATCTCTTGATGGTGGCCAAAGCTGGAGTTATGCAAAACCTACTGAACTGCCCAACCCAAATTCAGGTCATGATTGAAACCAAATTGTCTGCATTACAAAGAAATATTTGGATATCTAATAAATGATGGACTTATGTGTGTCTTAAATATTCTGGGCGAGTCCATTTTGTTTTCCCATGGAATTCTTGAGTGTATAATTTACTGTTAGTGAAATCTGTGGATGCTATTACTTTGTTGTGAGAAACTGACAGAAGGGATTCCTATAGAATAAAATATATCCCATGCAAGAGCTTTTTTCCTGTGATCCTACTGGCTCAAACTCTGTTGCATTAACAGGCATTGATGGGGTTAAGCTGAAGGATGGCCGTCTCTTACTTGCTTACAATACAGTCTCCAGGGGTGTGCTCAAAGTTGACCTCTCAACAGATGACGGAGACTCATGGGATGATGTTTTGACATTAGAGGAGACTATGGGAATGGAGTTCTCTTATCCAGCTGTTATTCAAGCCAGTGATGGATTAGTTCACATTACTTACACTTATAACAGAACACAGATTAAGGTAATGGCCTTATATTGTGAAGTTTAAGACAAATTATGGTACGAATGTGAACTCCTTTATGTTTTCGGTAACTCTCCCTCCTTCCTTTTTCCTTATTGTCATTCATCCGTAAAGTTGTTATCATGTTGTCGTAAAAGATTGCCCTCAAAATGAAGCTTTTCGTGCTATGAAATCTAATTTCTTCTGGTCCTGTGGTTTTCAGCATGTTGTTCTTCAACCCAACTGATGCAATGGTGCATTGAGAGCGAACATGTAGAGGAAAGAGGTACATTACCTATTACTAGTAACATGTGGCCCAATAATCAGTGGATTATAGCGATAAGCCTATAACATAAAATGCCATGTTATGGATAGATTGGTTTTCCACATGCAATTGTATTTTTTCAAAATTATTTAACTATTTTTTTTTTAGATTTATTTTTTCCCATTGTTTCTGGATGAGTAGGCCTCTCATGAAGTTTCCTGTATTTATGGCATAATTAGGTTCCCTCTACACATTTTGGTATCATAGTTTCTGGAAGCAAGATGTTATTAAGGTATATAAATAAAATCAGCATTAGACTATGATTGCAGATATTTTTCAATTTTGTGAGCTGGGACTAGAGAAAAAGGGTGGTTACATCAACTGGATGGTAGGAAGGATCGCATATTTCGTTCACGTGGGGAAGAATTGAAGCTTTGGGTTAAAAAAACCATAATTTTGTTGAATCATGAGCTCTATAATATCCGAGTTCATATATTTCCTAGTTTCGGCAGCTGCAGTTTCTAGTGGATTTATTTAAGTTTAGTTGAGCTCAGTCCTTTATCAATAATGTCACACCAGAATTCAACTGAAGTTCAGCTACGTCTTCCACATATCTTGGTCTAATTGATCTACAACTGCTGTTTATAGAAATTTAAGGAGATGCTTTTCTTGTGTATCTAGTCTCTCCTAAAACCTTTTGATCTTCATAAAACTTATTCTTCTTCAAATTTAAGACTTCTCAAAAACTTGATTTTCGATTCTTTTCCATTTCAGCATGGCCTTGCCAGTAACTTAAAACTGTATTCGGGCATTGAATGCTTTTGATAGAAGTGAAGATCAAAGTTCCACATCTAACTGTGGCCTTCCGGGAGGGAAAGAAGATTGATAGTATGCCAGCAAGTAGCATTTTTCCGGAAAGATTTGGTTTCCTTCCCCTTTTTTTTTTGTTGTCATTTTCATTAATTTTTTATGTCATGCAAACTGAACTTGGATTTGAACCTTGCACCTCCTATTTTGGGTTCCAAGAGAGCTTATAGTAGTTTTTAGTTGCCCACTTGCTTTTTTATCCGCAATGTGATTTTGCAAACACTAGATCACATCTTGTAACAGGTTCCATACTTTGGGATTATTCACTTTGCAAATATAAATTACTTTCTTACGATATTGTCCTCTTCTTTGTTGATCTCTTTCTTTCTCTTTTTGTGAATATTGTCTTGTTTAATTTTTTATTTTACTGATATGTCACTCAAACCCAAAGCAAGAAACTGGCAGATCGCTTGCACTGTACAATCCCAGTGGGCTTCAGTTTTTGACCCATACTTGATTTTTTTTATGTTAAAAAAATTGGACCCGGGCTTGAATTAGGTTGGGTTGTTTGTGGAGTTAGATAAGTGTGGGTGGAGTAGCCGAGGCCTCGAGGCATAGCCTTCAGGTTTTACTGCTTCCATTTCTCACCCTATGACCAGCCTCATGGACATTTGAATAGTATCCGGTAGCTTATGGTCTACCAGCATAGCAGGTGAGCTTAAGGTAAGTAAGAACTACCCACCTAAGATTACAATGCAGAGCTTTTGTGTTTTGTCACATAGAAAGGCCTAGTCCTTAACCAGTGGAGGAAATATTCAGTGTAATAGTAATATCAAGTTATTATTGATACGGTATTACCGTTAGTAATAAACTATCATACATTATAAGTGAATGCTATTATTTTAATATGGAGGTTATTGGATAAGATTAAGATTCTCTCTAATATATTTCCTCTTTAAAATAGTGGAATCCATTTAGTCCATATAATCTTATATTATATATTTAAAATGACCAATTTTTTTATGGAGAAGGCTTGAGAAGTCTTCCCTCCTATTTTTTTTTAAGTTTTTATGAATTTTAAATTATTAAATTCTCCATTCTCCATCTACGAATGTCTCTAATAATTATCCTAAATAACTATTCATAAATTCCCTCTAATCACCAATTATTTAAAAAAAAATAAACATCAAATTTTGTAATCCAATAATTTTTATAATATTTTTGTTAACTTATCAAATAATGTTTGGGAGAAAATTCAAAGTGAAAAAGGGGGTTGAGAAGAGAAAAAGGTGGTCTGTGCACTGCATATATTCGAACTCTAGTATTTCATAAAATATGTGATGTATAACTGTTATATTGAATTTTTTTTTTTAAAAGACGATCAGATGTAACAAACCTAACACGTTATTTTAAGGTTCTCACAAATTATAGTTACTAAATCGAGATGGTCGAAACCGTCATCAGGACATGCAGATCATTTAATCCCTCCAGTAGATCTCGTTCACATAGAGTATTACTGCAAATAAATTAGAACCCACAATTATCAAAAGACTGCAAGACTTTCACCCACCACCTCAATAATTATATTGAATAAATGGGTGCAACAAAAGGCAAGTCAAATACTGTAAATCGGTGCAATAAAAGATAGGTCATTATTTCTCACGAAATTCCTATGTCCCAACAAAAAATCAGCGCGGATTTTGGGTGGTTGCATGTCATCGTACAAACATTAAACTTTCTGCATTTAAAGAGTACTCCTTTTTTCCTACCCTTCACAGGAGAAGGACATTTCAGTACATTTATTTCGAGACTTTAAAGAGACGACAAAGCCAAAAAGCAGTTGAAGGTGTAGAAGTCGAACAGACATGCATGCGCTGCGCAGGCCTTTAAGGGTTGTGGTGGAAGAAGTAGAACAAAGCTTCGCTGCGTACGTTTTCTCTTTCTCTCTCTAACTTTTGCAATAACTTTGCTTTCTGTTCTCGCACTGAAGGTGTTTGAAAAATGGTCTCATTGACATATGTTATTCCACCCACCTTACGTGATTGACTCTGGGTCTGGGTCTATCTGGCGTTTTGGCAACAGTTTACCAGCGCATATTGGGACTTTTTAAGCCCCTCCATGTTATTGGTCAACCTATGTGTTGTGATCGTGTAGTAATTATGGTGAATAGTAAAAAATCAAATAATTAAAAAAACAGGAGAAAATAACACACAGAAATTTACGTGGTTCGGCAATGTGCCTACATCCACGAGAGCGAGCGGCCATTTTTTTCCATTATTGAAGTAGGGTTACATCTTAAGTATTTATATAACCCTAATATGGACGTATTTACAAAAATACTTCTGTACCGTACCGTGGAGGCGTTGCCCCCGCACCCCCAACTAATCAGCGTTCCCTTTATATAAATCCCACAAGGCAGATGCCATCGCGGGCTCCACTCCCGCATCTACCTCATTGTCATTATGCACATAGCAAATATGAGCCGCACATACTCTAACAAATCTCCCCCTTGGCAAATATTCACCTCTTTATAAGAAAAAAGAGGACATGTATTCGGGAACTCCACCGGGGACGCTGAGTTGAGGCATCTCCCATCTAGCAACTAGAGACATTAATCAAGTCCAAACAGTGCTTGAACTTGTCTGTAGTAACAGGCTTTGTCAACATGTCTGCTGCATTCTCAGAAGTGTGAACTTTCTCAAGTAATAGTTCACCAGAAGAAACCAGTTCCCTGATCTTATGAAACCTCACATCTATATGTTTGGTCCTCGCATGATACACCTGGTTCTTTGCCAAATAAATGACACTCTGACTGTCACAATGCAATTGAACTCCACCTTGCTGGGCACTCAGCTCCTTGACTAAACCTGTAAGCCACAAAGCCTCTTTGGCAGCCTCAGCTACTGCCATATACTCTGACTCAGTAGTAGATAGTGCAATTATAGGCTGTACCATGAACTTCCAACAAATAGGTCATCCCACAAGAGTAAATACATAACCTGTGGTAGACCTCCTGTCATCCAAGTCCCCTGCATAGTCTGCATCCACATATCCCATAACTGAAGGGTCACTCTGTTGTCTGCTAAACCTGATGTCATAGTCTGTAGTGCCCCTCAAGTATCTGAAAATCCACTTGACTGCATCCCAATGCTGTCGACCCGGATTTGAAAGAAACTTGCTAACCACGCTGACAGCTTGTGCCAAATCTGGTATTGTACAAACCATAGCATACATCAAACACCCCACTGTACTAGCATATGGGACCTTTGACATGTCATGAACTTCATCATCTGTCTTCGGGCATTGAGCGGTAGACAATCTGAAATGATTCGCCAAAGGTGTACTTACTGATTTTGCATAACTCATGCTGAACCTGTCCAACACCTTCTCAACATAGCTATGCTGAGATAGCTATAATCTCCTGGAAGCTCTGTCCCTGCGAATCTCCATCCCAAGAATCTTCTTGGCCGCACCCAAATCCTTCATGTCAAATTCTCTACTCAACAAAGTCTTCAACTTGTTGACCTCACTCATACTCTTGGCAGCAATCAACATATCATCCACATAAAGTAACAGAAAAATAAATGAATCATCATCAAGCCTTTTTACATAGACACAGCAATCATACTCACATCTTTTGTAGCCAATTCGGATCATGTAAGAGTCAAATCGTTTGTACCACTGCCTCGGAGACTGCTTCAGCCCATAAAGTGATTTCTTCAAATTACAGACCAAATGTTCCTCTCCAGGGAGACTGAATCCTTCTGGCTGTACCATGTAAATCCGTTCCTCCAAGTCGCCATGAAGGAAAGCTGTCTTTACATCCATCTGCTCCAACTGCATATCTGAATGTGCTACTAGTGCCACCACTGTCCTAATGGAAGTGTGTCTGACCACGGGGGAGAAGATCTCATCATAGTCAACCCCTTTTCTCTGTGAGTAACCCTTTGCTACTAGACGAGCCTTGAATTTTTCTCCCTCATTTTTTGATACTGCTTCTTTCTTCTTATACACCCATTTGCACCCTATTGCTCTCTTCCTCTCGAGAAGTTCCACCAACTCCCACGTTTGGTTCTTATGCAGAGACTCCATCTCCTCCACCATAGCACCCATCCATCTACTTTTCTATTGGCTTTGTACTGCCTCCTGAAAAGTTGTAGGATCCCCGCTACTAG